TTCTGTATCACAATTACTGTTTTTGGGATAAAGTAAATCATAATTATTAATTATTATTATTATTACAGTGAAATAAATAATATTAGAAATATAATGGGAGATGCAGGGTCGATAATCAAATGAACTACGTTCAATTACTAATGCAGAACGACACGTGTGAATGATTTTCAAGTCATGTTCAAATGAACAAGCGAAGGGGAGCATAAGTGGTTCACGTCATCTCACTTTATTTAATATCATGTCTTCAGGGAAGTTTTACTACTTCAATTAGACAGACATTTCGGACTGTGGTATTTTGACAACATAGTTCTTAATGAATGCAATGAATGCGCTGAGCTTTATTCAGTGTGTGATCTACGGCATGGAACGTGTTGTGAAATACAGTTGTAATTGAATAGGAACAGATTAAGTGAGAGACAGCTTGAATTGTTCATTTGGTCATAATACTATCAATAGTAATAATAATAATAATAACAATTAACAGCTGAAAGATGTGACAATAATAAGATGGTATGGACAACAAACGAAGTTTGGTGCGGAAACCTCGTCTCATCCCTCTAAACTAATGAGATTCCTGACGACAATAGAAGGTGACGTGAAGTAATGAATTTCTCGTGTGAATGAATAGTAGTTGAGAGAAATCCAAGTAACTGAGCATAGTCACTTTACTGTGTCATAAAATTTTGTTGGTTTCACTGCATTGTGCCTTTTCAAGAGGATGATGGATGAGTCCACGAATAAGAAAGACATACAAATTAATAATTTCTTCCTACATTGCATTGTTGTACTCAATCACCCTTCAAACAGTTTTCTTCATACAACAAGAAGGGAGCCGTTCTGGCGTCATTAGTGATGTCATCGTGGAGATCTACGACGCTCCGATTGAAAATCGTTTTAGTGTCCTTCTTGTGTTTGATTATGAATATTGATGCTTAGCAGAAAACTTCAAGTAACCAGCCAATCTCTTTCTGATTGGTGATTTCCCGTTAGCATTGATCGAAGCAATTAACTAAGATTCGTACAACTCGAACACAAGATTACCTCATTATTCAGGTGAACTTCCAAGGCTGTTGACAATATGAGGCCTGTTATATGCGTACGCAACGCGATGGCTGGAAACTGAAAGCGCCCTCAACAAATGCTGATGGAAATATTTGTTAGGTGCAGGCGGATTTCTGCTGTTCAGCCTCAAAATTACTTTGTCTACTCAAGAGTTTACATCACAATCATCAAGTTAACACAAGAAATGTCAATGAGAATGCGCCCGCCCTTTGTCGCCCATTAGGACTGTTTTACATATGTATATATAATCACCTAATGCAGAGACTATTAGTAAACTCTGGACACTATTCACTGAAAATATCGACACAGTGAAGCTGTCTATCGGCTGATCCAAATCAGTCATACAAAGACAAACGCAGGAAGATGAAATAATAATAATAATAATAATGAAGATGAATGTAAAATATTGTAATTTATTAGTTAACTTTGAAAGAAATACACCAAACCTCTGAGATAACAGAAACTACAACTACACCGTTTAGGTGAAATTGGAAACGTTTAAATTAATTTGCTGTGTAATGGTAATGCAGAGTATATTTCTTGTTCGACATCGTGCCAGCGACTGAGTGAGTCAGTAGTCACAACGCGAAGATAATACGAAGTAACTGCTAACGGAAACCTACAAATAAAACAAGAGATGTATGTTGATTAGTCCACATATATATGATATACATCGAAGAAGATAGAAAAGCTAGTGAGAGGATTACATGGGATTAGAAACGCAAAAAGATTAACTAGGAAAAATACAAATCGATATAAAATGACACTGAGTGAATATCAACAAAAATAATAAAAACCAATAAAAAAAAGAATACAACAAAGGAGCTATGTGAAAAGACAAAATCATTAGCAAGAAACCAAACAAATTGACAGTTCATCCTAATTCTGTGAGTTAACAAAAACACAGCGAATATCAATATATTAAATTAACAGTGTGCGCGATTCAACAATGTTTTCATAATTTGCTGTGCCTATACAGATCGGTTCTGTACACGCATTGAATTTCATTTTCGAATGGTGAACTGAAACACTCTGTTGAGAAACCACTACCATCCTCAGAGACTTTGTGATGATCGATCGCATCCAATTGTGATTGGCGTGATTGTCCACTGACGAGATGGACGAAAGATTGAAGACGAAAGAAGAAAGAAGCTTCTATTCTCTATGGCAGGAGGTGACGTCTGGTTTTGACAGGGACACGACAACCCATTAATGATTACAGTCATGTGTGACAGTATGCACTGTTGACTGTGCAGTGCAACACTGGTTTCCGCTCACACTGTGTGCATGGGTCATTTGAATTCTGGTCTCCACTGAACTGACTTCCACAAATCGCCTGGAATACAATCTACTGAGACAGACAGAGATCAGCTCTTCCGTTATGGGCACAGGGAGTTACGTCTACACGAACTATTTAGAAAGTCACTGTTTCAATTTTTTTTTGATTTACAGCTTGATTCCACACTGTATTTTTAGTACAAGTATGGAATTTTCAGCATGGATATCGGTAGCCCGAATTTTTCAGGCCGTCCGTAGATATCAGGTGTGCGTCGGTGGGGGTTCGAACCTCGGACCATGTGCATTGTCGGCGAAAGTCCTAACCACTGTTCCACGTTGCGTAGGGCTCCACTTTCTTCTATTTTCTGGCATCTTCTTCAGCTGCCTGGCTCCATGATTGCTCATAATCTCTCATCTCTTCCTGACACGATCTCCTCAATGGTCACCCTAGGATGATCCAGTCGTCTCTTTCCATTTGGATTCCCCTCTACGGCCTGCATTTCCTGTGATGTCATTCAACGGTCTCAAGGTATCCTCAATCCATCTCCATTTTCTCCTACATATTTGTTGAGCGATTGACTCTCCCCTGTTGGTTTGTTCTACTGCAGAGTTTCTTGTTGCTAATTCTTTCTGGCTGGCCATTTGATCATCAGTATGGAGCCAGCCAGGGAAGATGGCAGCTGTTGATGAAAGTCTGCAACCCGTTGGGAATCTTTTTCGTTACACGCTGGTCAAGTTTCTGACTCGTGTAGAGGGACCGATTTGACATTAGTGTTGAAAATGCGAATCTTGTTCTTTATACTGAGTCAGTGCAAGAGATTTCCAAACTGGTTGCAGGATGATGAAGGTTCGGTAAAGTTAGCACTATGTACATAATTGGACAAAGACTTACGTGGTCCGGAGTTCGACTCATGGCCGATACATTTTTAAACCTTGTCTAGCCTGTAGTGTAAGCCCAGTAAAGGAAAGGGATTTTAAGGCAAGCAACCCCTTCATTCTGTAAAACAAAACACTACTTTTATCGAAAGCCAAAGATTAGCGCCTCTTGGAATACAAAGTAATGAGGAAAAGTTTTACGATAACGTTACAAACTGGTAAAGTGCATAAACTTTTTAAGACGCAACTATTTTTATTTCTGCTTCGTCGATCACTTCTGTACTTGTATGATCCAGTAACTTTTGCAATGAGCGTGGACAAATTCCTCCGGTTACATTTGTTTTAATCTTAAATTTTATTTATATTTTAAGTAAATCAGATGCAATATTGTGACAAATGCTGAGAATTCCATTCTGTATTATAAGTACTGTTTTTGGAATAAAGTAAATTATTATTATTTTTTAACACACACCCTACCAGCTAGCGATAAAAGCAGTAGACGAAAGAAGAAGAAGAAGTGAGGAAAACTGAAGGAGTAAGGAATGGAAAGATTTTCAGTAACGACAGTAGGCGAATGGGTGATGACATCAATTCATATATTTACTTTAAATGAAGTTATTCTCTAAAAACTCATTCAGTAATGTAAGTTAGTAAATGCAGACACTTGTGTGTAGTAAGTAATCACCAAAACTTATTGTATTGTGTATGGATGACGGCGAATAAGTGGAACGGCTATCGAGTGTTTATCTAACTTCGATCTGGCTGGACATCAGTTACTACTGGCCGATGTGAGCAGTGTATCCCACATCAATTAATCAACCAATCAATCAGCGATATATATACCATCATGTGCTTGGCTTTCTTTATTGATTGGTCACGAGCATATCAGGCATTGTAATCCCAGCAATTTCGGTTTCCAAAGGACATGTTATGACCGGGAATACGACCTAGTGAACTATGAGCGAAAGCTAAATTATTGCGTTGGCTAATCTGTCCTAATCGCGCGTGAACAACGACAACAACATCGTCCGTACGCGAAGACAACAGAAAATATTGGACGTTAGTAAGAGAGCTCTTACTGCCTCAAACAACAGTCGAAAAAGGTTGACAGTTCTTGCGTACGCATATATACATATATATACATATGTTTAAAATGACCTTGAGAAGCCCTAATGCCATTGATAAATTAAGACAGTGAACAACCAATAGGATTTCGAAGGTCATAAGCGTAGGGTGAGAGAAAATCAGGTTATACATGAATAAGTGGAGTGAGAGTTATGTAAACAGACATGCAAAAATGACATGAAGAAAATTAGGTCTATTTATCAGGACATCGGGGGTGAAATTACGCCTAGAATTGTGTAATTTACAAATTGAGAATTTGGTCCAACGTGTATCACCAGTTCACTTAAGTAGCTAGATAGAATTCGGATGGTTTAAACTGATGATTCGGCTTCCTTAACTGAATCACCACACCAGATATGCCGCTAATGAGAGCTGATAAACGGTAGTCCCACCCAGTTACAAAACTATGAGCTTACATTTGAAAAAATTTAAAAAAAGTCTTTTAGTAAGAAAGTTGTATTTAAACAAGAACCATCAACAACACGTATACATTATTATTATGGAGAAAAATATAGTGAAAATTTCTTCAAAACAATAATTCCAACATGGGTAAAGCACTCCTCAGTAGTCACACATACACACACATGAATATATTTGATATGTGATATGCAGAAATCACGAGCATTCCCCTTCCATCCAGACTATTTTTTATTTCTGTTTTACTTCAAATGAGCTTGTTTCCATGATGGTATAGGCTTCAATTGTCTTTTAATCGAAAGTGGAGATGTAAAACGTAGTGCATATTGAGGTCCTCCAGCTTTATCATTTGTACCTTGAAAAATGAAAGAAAGTAAGTGAGGTAGTAAGATGTCGCATAAAGTGGAACCAATTACATTTCATTCTTATAGGTATTTTTTAAAAGTGATATAATACAACTTTCATTAATTTACTATTATTATTATTATTATTGTTCCCTTGGGTTCCTAGTGGGACATAGGGCTTCAACTGCACGTCTCCACTTGCCACTTCTGTCTTCCTTCTGATGTACTTTTCACCTGTATCCATGTTAGTCCATACTGTTTCAACTCCTCTTCACACGATCTCCTCCATGTCACCCACCCTTGCACTGACGTCCAACTCCCCGCATGCTTCCCTTTCGGGTTCCACTCGAGCAATGGCCTGACGTGCGCGCGATGTCACCCAGCGGCCTCCTCAACGAGTGTCCAATCCATCTCCACTTTTTCCTGCATATTTGTTGGGCGATCGGTTTGTTCTTGTTTTGTTTGTTTGTTCCCATAGTTTCTTGTTGGTGATTTTTTCCAGCCCGGCCCGGCCATCTGATCTTCAGTATGTAGCCAGCGAAGACAGGTGTTGATAAAGGTCTGCAATAGCCTGTTGGAAATATTCTTTGTGACCCGCCCGCCAAGTTTCTGATCCGATCCGTATAGAAGAGCTGAGTGACTTGACGTTTATATTCAAAATCCGACCGAATTTTGTTGTTGATGCTGGCTGGGTGACGAAGATTTCCAGATTGGTTTCAGGTTGATGAATATGTTTCTCGCCTTCCCGATTCTCGCTCGATTTGACATCCTCGTCCGTTCCGACAGACTGTAGTTGAGACAATGCTCAATGCTAGATAAGTGAATGAAGTAATGAATGTTATGCTCACATTTTCCCAAAGTTCCATACTGCATACAACATATATACATATATATGTATAATTTTATTTATTTTTGATTATAGCTTGATTCCACACCGTATTATTGGCACAAGTATGGACTTTTCAGCATGTGATATTGGTAGTCCAAATTTAGCAGGCCGACCAATTGATATCAGGTGTGTGTCGGCTGGGGATCGAACCCCTGACCATGTGCATGGTCGGTGAGAGTCCTAACCACTGTGCCACTAACGCATATATATATATATATTTCAACATTCTATTTGATCTCAGAGACAGAATACATTTTCCACGGTTAAATACTGCATTAACAAAAGAATACTATGTACATTTGAACATTTTTCGTCGTTTGATATAAACCGAAATCACACGCTCAATGATTGATTAACGAATATAAACTGTAGATATATAAACTACGGTTAGATTAATGAAAAATATACCTTGTATCCCATGTCTTGCCTTCTGTTGTTTCAGTATCATTTCAGCTGCAGACACACGGTAGGGATGAGAATGTCAAAAGTCAGAATCAGAAAGGCAAGACAGACCTTCATCACCCTGAAATCAGCTTAGAAATCCTTAGAACAACATTACGATTTTCAACATCAATGCTAAGTCAATTCTTCTATATGGGTCAGACACTTGGCGCGTTACAAAAAGCACTTCAAACAAACAGTAGGCTTTTATCAACAACAACAACAACAACTGCCTTATTATAAATTATTTAAATTAATCCCAGCGGATTGATTTAAATAATTTATAATGAATCAATCTGACTCGGTGCTCAAATTATTCCAAGAATTCGTAACACCTACGGTCTGGAAACCTATAACAACTGCCTTAGTTCCATACTGAAAATCAGAAAGAACTGGCAACGAGAAATTCTGTGAACAAAACAACCAAGAATCAATTGCTCAAAACATATGCAGAAGAAATCGGAAATGGATTGTGCACACTCTGAGGAGACCGTCGAATAACATCATGCGCCAAGCTATAGCTCAAGTGGGACCCAAGTGGGAAACGGCGACTTGGGTATCGGAGGTTGAAATGGAGGAGGTTGTGCGAGGACGAGACGAGAGACTATCGGCAATCGTGAGGCCAACTAAAGAGGACCGCAGATAATGAGAAAAAGTGGAGTTGTGATGTTGTAGCCCTACGTTCCACTCGGCACCAAAGGGAACGATAATAATAATAATAATAATGCATATAGATATGTGACCGAGCAGTCTGAATTTATCCCCCAGTCTTTGTCTTCTCATAACTTTCGGACCACTTCGGTTTACTTTCATGAAACATTCTCGTGAAATTTAACGTGCATATTCATTCATTGACTAAACATTAATGACACGTAAGACTTCTTTATCTTTAATATAAATACAACTATAAAACTAGATTAAAGTTGTCTGAAAACAAAAAAAACACTCCAGCGTACAGCAGAGTGAAATGGAGATGTGATGTTGAAGCTTCACGTTCTATTCGGAACCCAAGGGAATAATAATAGTAGTAATAATAATAACTGTTATTATTATTATTATTCTTATTATACCACGCACTACTAATAACCAAATAAATTTTATTATAATGAGGGGATAATTTAATAAGCTATTGGTCAGTCAAAATGGAAATTTTTTCTCTTTTCAATATGGCTAAAGCGTCACAATTAGAAAATTCGATGAGTATATCATATGCTCATTTAAAATGGATATTGACGAAACGCTTAAAAAATATACCATTATCATCATCATCATCAGTAAGACAACATTTACGAATTACAACTTATTAATTAGGGGGTGAATCAGCTGTCAAATTTCGTGAGTCGGTGACACAGCGGTAGAATGATTGTCAACCACGTAGGTGGTTCGGGGTTCAATCACCGGCCACTGACTCACTCCTAAACCTCACTAAGCCAGTAATAAGACTGGTAAAGAGGGAAGGTTGGGCATGAGGCTAACAACCCCGTCACGTAGAAACAAACACCACTGCTACCACTCTAGCTAGAAGCCCTACGTTCCAGTGGGGATTTAAAGCAATAAAATAAAAATAGTCCGTCAAATTTCGCCATCTGCAGATTAAGTCACAGTTTATAAGTATATATATATATATGTATAATATCCCTTTACTTTCCCACTGGAACATAGGGCTGCAAGCTACAGACTTGAAGTTTAGGTAGCAGAAGTGTTTACTTTTACAGGATGGGGTTACTAGGCTCATACCAGTCTTATTACTGGCTTAGCGGGGTAAAGGTAAAGAAGTGCGTCGGTGGCCAGTGATCGAACCCCGGACCACATGAGGCGTAGTTGGCGAGTATTCTGCTGCTGTGTCACTGATGCACACAAGTTTATAAGTAAAGGCCAATTTATTTAGTAATATAAAACATTTACCTGATAATCTAGCGCCTCCAAATGGTTGTTGACCAACTACAGATCCAGTCGATTGAACATTTACATAAAAGTTACCAGTTGTATCAATAAGACGATCAGTTGCAGACTTAATGAATGCTTCATCTTGAGCAAAAATAGCACCTATATATATATGTATATTAAGGAAACAATAAACAACTATGTAGTGAATTCTCGGATAAATTCAATTTACTTGTATAATATACACTGTAATCAATATAACGATATTCTCTTCTAGCAATCAAAAAAAGAAAAACAGACATTCATGCAAGGACAAATTTCAGTGAGTCACTCTGTACTTCAAAGACTTTTTATCTTTACAAACGACACTGTCGCCCTACAGGCTTATTATAAAGGTGAATAATGTTATCCACCATCAACGGGAAGGATTTGAAAGAGGTTACTTCATTCACTTATCTAGCATTGAGCATTGTCTCAACTACAGTCTGTCGGAATGGACGAGGATGTCAAATCGAGCGAGAATCGGGAAGGCGAGAAACATATTCATCAACCTGAAACCAATCTGGAAATCTTCGTCACCCAGCCAGCATCAACAACAAAATTCGGTCGGATTTTGAATATAAACGTCAAGTCACTCAGCTCTTCTATACGGATCGGATCAGAAACTTGGCGGGCGGGTCACAAAGAATATTTCCAACAGGCTATTGCAGACCTTTATCAACACCTGTCTTCGCTGGCTACATACTGAAGATCAGATGGCCGGGCCGGGCTGGAAAAAATCACCAACAAGAAACTATGGGAACAAACAAACAAAACAAGAACAAACCGATCGCCCAACAAATATGCAGGAAAAAGTGGAGATGGATTGGACACTCGTTGAGGAGGCCGCTGGGTGACATCGCGCGCACGTCAGGCCATTGCTCGAGTGGAACCCGAAAGGGAAGCATGCGGGGAGTGGGACGTCAGTGCAAGGGTGGGTGACATGGAGGAGATCGTGTGAAGAGGAGTTGAAACAGTATGGACTAACATGGATACAGGTGAAAAGTACATCAGAAGGAAGACAGAAGTGGCAAGTGGAGACGTGCAGTTGAAGCCCTATGTCCCACTAGGAACCCAAGGGAACAATAATAATAAATAATAATACTATTGATTGTGTTCATACATGAATTTCGACGTAACAGACATTTTCTTTAATACCTGAATTTGAGGAGGATTAATTAAGAGGGGGTGGGGTCATTAATCATATCTACTTATATAGCATACACAGACACGCTCCGAGAAGACCATTAGGTGATGTCACGTGATAGACCCTCGAATGGAACACGAATGGGAAACGGGATATTAGGCGTCCAATAGTGGTATTGAAGAAATCGTGTGATAAGGAGATGACATTTTATGGTCAACCATGGAGCCAGTTAACGAGGACTTCAGAAAACAGAATGAAATGGAACCTAAGGAAATAATAATAATATCAGTAATAATAATGACATTATCTCTCTGAAGTATCGAATGGCCATGGACCAATTAAATAACTTCAGTTCCGTTCTACTTTCAGATGACTTGATAAAATATCCTCTCGCTTGAATTTGCTTGAATTTGAATAGGACAACTAACACAGAACTGTTCATGAGGAAAGTGACAGGAATAAACTGATGAATTGTACTTCATTAAAGTAGGTTTGAAATTGATCACTTTAGACGATCGATCTTCAAACAATCAATCACTAGTTTGAAAACTGCAGCAGGACAGTCCCAACATGGCTAACATACAACGCATGTAGCTAGTTATGAACAGCATGAAGATGAATATGGTTTCTAAGTTGCATAAAAATGAGTTACACTGTCTAGTGGCTATTAACACTGGATGTGTAGCTCTCACAGGCTTATGCCATCGACTTTCAGTAAGTAGATCTCAAGTTAGAATCCCCCCTCACACAATGTGCGGCTCATAGCCTGAAACATAAAATACCTGTTTAGGGGAATGAGTTCAAACAGACAAATCAAATTATTGAATAACAGATATTCCAGCCTAAGTTCTAAGCATTTTGAAGGTCTAGAATCACTACGAATGGTTGATTTGAGTACACCTATATATTAGGGAAAAGAGAAATCAAATAGTTTCTTGTTGTTGGGTAAATCCTTACAGTTTACAGTATAAATAACGATAAGAATAAAACGTTAATAAGAAAACTATATATATACAGTAATTCACTCACCAGTCAATGCATACTCTGTGGTTGTGTTGACCAAGTCTAATGTTTTATCGACTTCATTGTCACGATACACGTATGCACATACAATTGGCCCGAAAATATCATCCTGAAAATAGAGGGAAATAAAAGTCACCGATTTTCATCAGTGTCATATGTTTTATAAGTTATTAAATAATACTCACGAGCAGAGCAAGAAAGATATGTACAGGATGATCACTTACAAAAGGGACTTGAATAAATTCATGATGTCTTGACGGAGGTGGGGTATCCGAGTAGTTTCATAAAGAAACATATAAAACATATAAACATGGTTCGGCGGTGGACAGACAAAAACCACATTTAGTGAAAATGAAAGCATTCAAGGAGATTTCATCGCATCTCACTGAATCTTCACAGTGGACTTTGTATTCGTTTACTGCGCTCAGCTGAGGCGATAGGCAATCAAACTGTTCAACCTAAACTATGCATTCAGAAGAAGTTCGTAAAGTCATTATCCCTCCCTTGGCCTATTAAGACATAACCAACTGATGACGTCATCACCATCACTCTTTACTTATATTTTCAGTCCTTCTTTTATCATCCCTTAATCTTGTCACATCATCATTAAAACATAATTTATTTACTCCCATTACAATGTAGCATTACGTAATCGGTTCATTTGTTTTTCCTAGCCTTTGTCGACTACTTCTACCTGAACATTTACTTCTTTAATTATGCTGTTTTTCACCATTCTTGTTATCACAGATCACCCCAATAGTCGCCGATCTTTACATGAATAAATTCGAAGATAACATCTTTTCGAGCATACTCACTCCTAAAATAAGGTTAAGATATGTAGATGATACTTTTGTAGTGCTAAAAAGAGATCTACACAGTTCATTCTTGGAGAAAATAAACAACCTATCTCCCAGTGTAACAACAGAAGACAAGGGCCAGGCAACAGATCGTTTTATTATGAAAATCAACACGTATTTATACATCTTTCAACTACATTATTATAGACAAGCGCAGTCATCTGATTGGTTGTTTAGGTAGACAAACGCAGGCTTCTGATTGGTTGTTTCGGGATTCCTTGACAAATAGAGTTCTCTCTGCGAATCATATTTTGCCACGTTAATTTTGCTGTGATTGGTTGTTGACTCAGGCTTGTTCATATCTTCTCACGGCCCACATTAGTGACCTAGACCTTAACGTAGATTAGTGCCAACCAATCGGCTAGCAGCCTGCTCTCACCACACTCGTCCCCCCGTCAAATACGTGCGACTGAAGTCGGCTTGATCTACTTGGTGCAGGCGTCATCGTTGGCTTGTCTTGCTGTATCCATTTCTGGAGCTCGCTGACGTTCACGCGCCTCTTATTGTTCGCCATTGCGACTGTGTCTGCGTAACCCCATCTCGAAGTGACCATATATGGTCCTTCACACTTTGGAAACTGTTTGCCTGACCCTGTCGAACATTCGTCCATACTTCGGCCCACACCTTCATATGCTGCTTTCGCCCGACCTCCCAGCAGCGTCTCAAGTAGCAGCTCCATCGCTGACAGATCTTGAACGCCACTCAACTGCGCAGAAGCCTTGAAGTCCTGCCCGAAGATCCATATGTCTCCATCAAAAACTGCAGGGTATAGGCTTTTCATTTGTCGGTAGGCAGCGACACCAAATGTAACAACAGAAGACAAGGGCCAGGCAACAGATCGTTTTATTATGAAAATCAACACGTATTTATACATCTTTCAACTACATTATTATAGACAAGCGCAGTCATCTGATTGGTTGTTTAGGTAGACAAACGCAGGCTTCTGATTGGTTGTTTCGGGATTCCTTGACAAATAGAGTTCTCTCTGCGAATCATATTTTGCCACGTTAACTTTGCTGTGATTGGTTGTTGACTCAGGCTTGTTCATATCTTCTCACGGCCCACATTAGTGACCTAGACCTTAACGTAGATTAGTGCCAACCAATCGGCTAGCAGCCTGCTCTCACCACACCAGAATCCAGTTTACTTCGGAAGCAGAATCAGACATCGGTGAACTACCATTTCTAGAGTGCCTAGTTAAGAGGAGGGAAAACAGACATTTTAGTATATCTATACACGGGAAGAAAATCATCTCCAATAGATATTTAGACTTCAGATCATTACACCCGATCAGCGCAAAGGTATCAGTTGCTTCAAGTCTTCTTAGACGAGCACACTCTCTGATAACGGATAAGAAAGAAAAAGAAGAAGAAATATCAAACATTACTGAAACTCTCAAGCAAAACAACCACCCAATGAACTTCATCAACAAAATCAACACTGACATTAGGTATGGCCGAAAGCGTATTCCAAAAATATGGGGCTCAACATAACTCCATATAGAGTGGAGACGTCAAACGATATCAGAAGAGTACTCAATAAGCACGACATCAGAGTTTTCTTCAGAACATAAGACACACTGCAAAACAACCTTGTCCATATAAAAGACCAAATTCCTAAGGATTCTCCAGCTAATTGTGTCTATAAAATAAAATGCTTGGAATGTGATGTGATATACATCGGACAAACATCTCGAGAAATCAAAATCAGAAGAAATGAATACTGTAGAGCATCTGTTCGGCCACCGAGAAATACAATTGAACTAGAAAAGCTTGAAAAATCATCAACCATAGGTGTACAACGCTATAGAATCAGGCCACAAAATTGATTTTGACAATATTGAAATAATCCAGAAAAACTTAAGAAATCACAAAAAACGTTTAATATCAGAATTACTTCATATCAAGTGGAATCCAAATTGTGTGGATAGGAATGATGGACTAAAACAGAATTTGACCTGGTTACAACACCCCGTTCCCCCACGAAAATCAACACGAATGTGATAAGCAATTTTATTATGTAAACACACGCTGCTCCTATAGTTTAACACACTTATCAAATCCAACAATCGACACCTGGTTTTGTTATCTTTACCAACTGGCCAATTTGACAACAGAAAAATGACCCCATGTTGAGGAACGATGATTAAGTTGTTATATATAAGCTGAGATTTTGTAAATTCTAGTTTATTAATACTCTGATAAGGCTGTTAGCAGAATTAAATATCGAAACGTCAGTAAAAACTGCAAAATCGTTTTGTTTTTCATTCATTGGGAAATACAAATGACGTTTATTATAATGAATATCAGATACCCAATGCCCAAATTTTTCAAACTGTTAAAATTGAACTTGGTTTGGACACATAACACTTTTCCATCTTTGTTGTAAATAGAATTATTATTATTGTTATTATTGATTGCACAATTTATATGCACAATCTAATAATCCTATTGATAAATCGCCATGATTGGTTTATATTTGAATATTTATTTGTAAAGTTATGCATATTAGAGGTAAGCCTGATGAGATCTAATTGAAAACAATATTGTTCGCTTAAATGTGTTGTTCTAAAGAATACTTGATAAAATCCTACATAACCAAGACAGAGTAAGGAGGATGGAATAAACTCTTTTCAATAATTTACAAATTGTCAATTGACTACCACATTATACTGTAATCCTACAGTTCTATTTCGTGCAATCAATAAACAAGGTGATAAAAGAGGTAATCACATTAAAAATTGTTTTAGTCAAGGGGAATCATTTACGAAACAATTAATAATCCCACCAATATGAGAGAATAATGACTTAGACAATATGGTCAATATTGTCAGTTTAAACTTTTAAATGATCTGAAAACTTCTAGGCGTGGTACAGATCACATCAATTTTCGTCTGTGGTTAAAACAATAGACTGTTACTAGGATGTTACTGTTTGGCTGATGGTGGACTAGCAGTGGAATGCAGGATGCGCATTTCATCCTATTTGCGATCCGTCATCTGGATGATGTTCCCACCGAGACTCGAAACTGCACCCATCATTACAAAAGACAAATCGTAATCCACCAGGTCACTAGGTCCCAAGAGTCACCTCTTGTGCAATGGGTATAAGTTGTTATTTGTTTATTCAACAGACAGGAAATGCTAGTTAACTCAATGGTGGTCTACTGACAAATGTGTAACGATAGCTGCTTTACCCTGGTTATGAAAGACATCAACGGTAAACTAGTATCTCATTCACTAGCTACAAACAAACGGTACAGTACTACAAAATGTGCTGTCCTCCATTGTTATACTGAATTCTGTCATAAACTACCATCCATAGTGAGTTGACTCCATAAATCCTAGTCCACAACCTGATTTAGATTTGGATATATGTAGATATATATTGAAAAAACTATTAAATCCAAACTGAATCACAAATTCAAAGCGAATAAACTGTTACATATGATATCAAAAAAGAAAGAATCATCATTCGGTGATAAATGAAAGCCAACTTAAGGAATCATTTTATTTAGCCAGTGCTGTTTGGCTATAGAATTCAAAATGCGCCTTCTTATCCCAATTAGAACTCGTCACTTGGATGTCCACCTGTGTAGAGACTTGAGCTCATTCAGCACTTATCATCTCAAACTCTAAAGCTTCTGAAATAATAGAGAACATTTGCAGCTCAAATGGATGTTTTTGATTTTGTTGTGGTTAGTGCTGAAGATGTTGTCTAGAGGTACAGTGAAAGTTTCATAATTAAACCATTCAGCTCAAGAAAATTAATAACATAAACACCAGATAGTTATCAATTAGATTTCCCAGCCAAGAGTACGGACACTTTCGTACTAGCAGCCGACATGTCAAAATATGCAATGTATTCCACTCCAGTAAAATCAGACAAAGATAAATTGTTTATTTATTTTTATTTTGATTATAGCTTGAAACCACACCGTATTCTTGGTACAAGTATGGAATTTTCAGCATGTGATATCGGTAGCCCAAATTTAGCAGGCCGACCATAGATATCAGGTGTGCGTCGGCAGGGTATCGAACCCCAGCCATGTACATGGTCGGCGAGAATCCTAGCCGCTGTGCCACCAACGCACGAAATAATTTCAAGTCATCTTCATTAAATTTTTGTTAAACCCTATCATTTTTATCAAGGAGGATGGATAGATCAGGTTTAAGATACACACGATAAACATTGTTGTTACATGGCTGGAGGCAATCAACAGGAATTCTTAAACACATGTTTTGTGCTTGTAGACACACGTTAGTAAGGCGTATCTGCAATCTTGAAGGAACTCATCTCCCTTCTGAGATTCGAACCTGAGTCAACCAGTGCTGCAGTCGGAAACGTTGCCACAAAGCTGTCTGAGCTCGCAACTGACCTCCTGTAGGACTGACTGCACTGGATATTTGATCGAAAACTAGGCAGTAACTAATGTCATGAGTTTAGTCCTTGGTGTATTAGTGCAGAGTGAATGCTATCAGTCATCTTATCTCAGATAACTAAAAAATGAAATTCAATCGTAAACGAAATATAAAAGAATGTTACCCCTTAAACTAGCCTATAAAGAAATTCATATCATTTAACATTTTAAAGAGATATTAAAAATGAACAATATTCACCTTCATTAATTTATCCGTTGGATTCTTGGTTTTTAATATTGTAGGTTCAATAAAATAGCCGACTTTATCATTCCCATAACAGCAGCAATAACTTCAATATCTGCACAACTTGATGCATATTGTAGGTAACTAGAAATTTTTTTGAATGCCTAAAATAAAATATACATTTATTTTACTTATAATAGTTGGTTGAAAAAATTTACATATATATAGCACAATCGAAAGTAGAGAAATTTGATAGAATACTGTCCACCTCTGATTATACACACATAGAGCCAGAAAACAACTAATAAGAGATGTATCGTTCCAGAGATGAATTAAAACAAGTTTGAACCAGAAGAAAAAGAACACTACAAATGACCAAATCACGAAAACAGAACTTTTATATCACCATTGTTTAAAGAGTAAATCTACCAGGAGTTATAAAGTTACCGCTGATTAGTTTTTTCATTACTTTGCTTCCAACTTGAGCTCTGAATTTTCAGTGGCAGTGGTGCTGTCATTTTTACGGGTTGAGATTTCTAGTCTCACTCCCAGCCGTCTGTCTCTACCACGCTTTCTACCGAATAAGTGAGGTATAGGCATGCGTTGGCCACGTGCGTGGTTGGTTGGCGAGCATCCTATTTATTTTTTTTTTTCCACTGTATCTTTTTACACCTTTAGTTTTATACTACTTATTGCAAATAAGTAGACGAGTCATGCTGTCCCATTTTTAATTTACCAACATAGTTATTCAGTTCCATTAACAATACTAAAACAATTATAAATGGCATTCAGTAGCAATGTATAATTCCAGTCCAACAATAAATCATACCGTCAAACTGACAGAGTGGCTATGAATAGTCTTTGAAAGCTTGTTCGCGCTGGTATATTTGTTGGAAACACAGAAACAACATCAACGACAACAACAACATCGGTTATTACAATCAATGAAACATAATTTCATGCCAGGTAGATATGTTAATGATACTTTCATTCAGTGTATTTGAAAAACTCATAGAAAACAACTGTTTAACACACTCCATTGAGGTCAATAAGAAAGTTAGAATGAATAAAACTCCACTTTTAGATTTAGATATTACACGATGAAGTGATGGGGCTCGTTACGCATAGATTTATCGCGAAAAATGCTATTGTCATTATTTTTCAGCCTGTATAGCTGTTTACTCCTTTCCTGTTTCCCCTTTGTCATTCCTTCTTCTGTGTTAAAATTTATACTACTTATTCAAGTACTGGTTTGTAGAGATTTTGATTGATTGCTTACAGGAATTCATCATGAGCTGACATTGGTTAGAGAACCATTGGAAAACTTGCACGGAGTACTGGACAGCTGTTTCGTCCCTAGTAAGTAGTATATGTTGTATTTGTAAATTCTTAACCATTTCTTTATTTGTTATTGAGCTTTAGCTCACTCGATGTATTGCCAATCTATTAGATAAATAATAATTATTTTCTTATAGTCGAACACTATTTGCTGTGTATGCTTTATACGTGTACCCATTACTGTTGAACGTTGTTTGTCCATATCCCTTTATATTCTGTGTCTGGCATTCGCGCGCCATCTGAATAACACATCGATCGCCTTTGACACATCTCTGCTGCTTTTACTTATTGAAGCATATCGACTGTTCTTTTTGACGGCATTCAACCATAGACACCTCACAGTTGAGATGTGTATATTATATGTCATATTTTATATTTAATATAATATCGTATTTTAGACAAATCCTTTGGATTAATCACATACATACTATGGACTACTTGACCTATTTAAAAATGATTGGTCATTAGTATGTCCTTTGGTTTTATATAAATAAGTAATTGTCATGCACTTTATTTCATTTTGTGAACTATGTTAGTAGTAAAGTGGTTGTAAAGAAACTACGAAATGATATAACCTCGCAAAATTTGTCTTCAAACTCTGTATTTTCGGATTTTACGCGTGGTCACTCAACGTGTGGTTTAAAAATAATCATTCGATTACCGTTCCAAATTTCTTTTGGAAGAAATTCACAATAGCTTTGACTAATAATATACAAATGGAAACGGACCATGAAACTGTGTTATAAGGCTAGAAACCTCTGTTCCGTTGGGGAACTCGATGATATTTCTTGTTATCGAGAAATATCTGTCAGCAATATAATTATTTTGAAAAGTCTATTGCTAATCACAGAAGTGAAAGCTGTTCTAGAACAAATTTTCATCCAATTAGTATTCAAAGGATAACCAGATATTAAATAAATTGAATTAATGACTGAAAGCAGTAATTCTCAACACATACCCTCCAACATCAATGGTTCCATTTTATAAGATGATATCAAAGTGATATATAAAATACCAGATAAACAACATAATTCAATTCTGAGACGCACGGTATTATATACTACTGATTGTTTGATATCAGTAGTTGGATGTCAGTCACATCAATCAGTAGTTTCTGTTGGTCAGCCTGGTCAAAGTGATCCGAACATCGGATAGCTGTTTCACTCATTCGGTGTCAAGATAATCAGAAGTGTAACCGGTTTGACTTAGCTCAGACAAATGAATCAGTTAAAACCACTCGAATTCTGTCTAGCTATTACTGGGTGAACTGGTAGTACATTTAATCAAATTGTCAACTGGCAACACACAATTCGAGATGAAATTTCACCAGTTTCCTTAGGAGTCCGAAATTAGTTAGATAGAAAAAGGATTCTTCAGTGTTTGAACCAGATGGTCTAATATCGAACTCTTGATGGTTTTTACTACACCTCTGTTAAGCCATACTGGTAGGTATTCTTGAGGACGAAAAACTAAATTCCTAGACCAACCAACAGCCAATACAACTGGCTCCACGGGAGCAGTTGAACTGATAGATAGAAGAAAAAGGTGGCTAGCCTAGGTGATTCATCTTTCACTTGAGGAGTTAAAACTGGTTGTCAGCTGAAGCTCATCGGCATTAAAAGTTCTTCAAATCGGTTTTCTTGACTTACTGGTTGTTATTCCACTTGATAAGTCACTTATATAAGCACTATCTTACTCTTAAAATAAGCTGGCGCATTTACTCACATTCAGCTGACTACATACTGTAATTGGAAATATTATACATATATGAACAATTTATGTAACTTTAATCAAAAAAAAAACTTACCACCTATAGTTCTTGGATATCCAGTGTACTTGTCTAGATTGTTACCAATCACTTTCAAGATAGATCGGAATGTTCTATAGCATAAACAGGTTTTGTTTTTATTTTTATAAAAGAGAAAGTAGGTCATTAGAAAATTGAGATGGGAATCTGTGAACCATTACAATATATCATAAAGAGTGCATGTCAGTACATTATATATTACTATTCCCTCGGGTTCCAAGTGGAACAATGGGAGGACTTCAACAACACATCTTCACTCTGTTTTATGTTCTGTTGTCCTCTTCACCTGGATCCATGTTTGACCATAATCTCTCATCTCCTCCTCATCACAAGATCTCCTCCATGTCACCCTCACACCGACGACCTACTCGTCGCTTCCCATTTGGATTCCACTCGAGCGATGGCCTGCATATATGGCGCGATGTCATTCAATGGCCTCCTCTCCTACATATTTGTTGAGCAATAGGCTCTTGGTTGGTTTGTTCCCAGCCAGAATTTCTTGTTGCCAATTCCTTCTGGCCGGCTGGCCATTTAATCTTCAGTATGGAGCCAGAGAAGGGGGCAACTGTTGATAAAAGTCTGTTCATGTCAGTATCATACGAAATTCCTGAGTCATGTTGGCCAATTTACAAGTTCAAGGAAACATTAGATAATCAAGTTGAAATTATAACAGTCAGCTTGACGTGGTAAAGAGTGAAAATTATTGAATAACACTTTGCCCAATTAATTCATAACTCTTAAACAGGCTGTCTATTTAATAAATTTATACATTGCAGGACTTCATCATGAGCTGACATCAGTTAGAGAACCATTGGAAAACCTGGGAGTACTGGACAGCTGTTTCGTCATAGTTTGGGACTCTTCAGTAGTACGCACCCACCGCCACAGTTCAAACCCAGGGCCTTCTGGTTACAAGGCGAGCTAGCTCGTAGACCATTGAGCCACTGGGACCCGACACAATGGCCCATGAATTCTAATTTCTGCCAATTCACGACATAACGCGACCCCCAGACAATGTCTTCGGCGAGTATTTGTCCTCACACCCGACCTGCTGCACCCTAGATTGTATTAAGAGGAAAATAATCCTTAAAAATGTGTTGTTGGATATTAGGGAGAGATAGGAAGAACCATTCTCTTCAACCTGGACTTTTTATTCATTGAGACTGATCAGAAAGATGTATCTTCAATCAGAATGAAACGCAGTGGCAAAATCTCTGGAATCGATATTGAGTAATGCAAAAGAGAGCACATCAAAGTCGACAGACAATCAGCGTTTGACTAAATATGATAAATGAATGGGAGGGGAGTTTCAGTTAGTTTAGTAAATCTGCCAGTTTACGCCGACTCTGGCGTAGACGAGATGTTCGACTATCGACCAAAGGGCGGGTGTACTGCTCATCAGTCCGCTCCGTCCTCCTTTATGGCTGTGAGACCTGGCCACTGAGAGTGGAAGACATGAAAAGACTAGCTGTCTTTGATCATAGGTGCCTGCGTTCTATTTCCCGTGTAAAGTGGCATAATAAGGTGAGCAACATTGAAGTTAGGCGTCGAGTTCCAGGTAAACAGGGGAAATCAATCGACGAAGTCGTGAAGCTACAAAGACTGAGATGGTTAGGACATGTGTTACGTATGCCAAGCCATCGCCTCCCTCGACGAGCAATGTTAGCGGATATAGGGTCAGGCTGGAAAAAAGCTAGCGGCGGTCAAACAAAAACTTGGCACCAGTCAATGAAATCCACAACAGTTGGTCTAAGCCACGTAGGAAGGTGTAGACTTCCAGGCTGGGGTCCTCGGGACGGTAAAAGGCAATGGTTGGAAACAATTGGTGACATGGCTCAAAATCGTTCTCAGTGGCGCAGATGCATCCACTCCTTGT